ACTATGTAAGATGTATCTTCAGACTACCCTTCTGACTGAATGACTTAGTACACACGTCACAGCAAAACGGGCGCTCTCCACTATGTATGCGCTGATGTACCTTCAGACTACTCCGATCACTGAATGACTTAGTACACACCACACAGCTCTACGCTTGCTCCCCACTATGTATGCGCAAATGCTTCCTCAGACAATATCGACGACTGAATGACTTATTACACACAACACAGCAAAATGGCCGCTCTCCACTATGTATGCGCTGATGTACCTTCAGATAACACTGCTGCCTGAATGACTTATTACACACAACACAGCAAAACGGCCGCTCACCACTATGTATGCGTTGATGTATCTTAAGACTAGTCGGGTGACTGAATGACTTAGTACACACGTCACAGCAAAACGGCTGCTCTCCACTATGTAAGCGCTGATGTATCTTCAGACTACCCTTCTGACTGAATGACTTACTACACACGTCACAGCAAAACGGGCGCTCTCCACTATGTATGCGCTGATGTACCTTCAGACTACTCCGATCACTGAATGACTTAGTACACACCTCACAGCAAAACAGGCGCTCTCCACTATGTAAGTGCAGATGATTACTCAGACCACTCCGATCACTGAATGACTTAGTACACATGTCACAGCAAAATGGGCGCTCTCCACTATGTAAGCGTTGATGTATCTTCAGACTACCCTGATGACTGAATGACTTGGTACACACATCACAGCAAAATGGGCGCTCTCCACTATGTATGCGCTGATGTACCTTCAGACTACTCAGGCGACTGAATGACTTAGTACACACATCACAGCAAAACGGCTGCTCTCCACTATGTAAGCGCTGATGTATCTTCAGACTACCCTTCTGACTGAATGACTTAGTACACACGTCACAGCAAAACGGGCGCTCTCCACTATGTATGCGCTGATGTACCTTCAGACTACTCCGATCACTGAATGACTTAGTACACACCTCACAGCAAAACAGGCGCTCTCCACTATGTATGCGCTGATGTATCTTCAGTGTACTCAACCGACTGAATGACTTAGTACACACATCACAGGAGAACGGGCGCTCTCCCCTATGTATGCGCTGATGTACCTCCAGACTACTCAGGTGACTGAATGACTTAGCACACATGTCACAGCAAAACAGGTTCCCTCCACTATGTATGCGTTGATGTATCTTCAGACTACCCTTCTGCCTGAATGACTTACTACAAAGGTCACAGGAAAACGGCCGCTCTCCACTGTGCATGCGCAGATGCCTCTTCAGACCACTCTGAAAACTGAATGACTTAGTACACACGTCACAGCAAAACGGGTGCTCACCACTATGTATGCGTTGATGTATCTTCAGACTACCCTTCTGACTGAATGACTTAGCACACACATCACAGCAAAACGACCGCTCTCCACTATGTATGCGTTGATGTATCTTCAGACTACCCTGCTGACTGAATGACTTAGTGCACATGTCACAGCAATATGGCCGCTCTCCACTATGTATGGGTTGATGTGTCTCGCACTGATGAGCCCTCAGATTACACTGTTCAGTGAATGATTTATCACACTCATCACAGGAATATCGCCGCTCCCCACTGCATACAGGTTGAAGGTCATTCAGAGTACTCTGCAACACAAGAGGAAATAACATGGAAAACCCTCCCATGAAGAGAAATAATTTTGAAACTCTTCACAACAGAGATGTTAGAAGGGTAGGAGAGAGAGGGTAGACAGAGGGGAGGAAAGACGCAGACAGAGCAGGGGTGTGCGCATGCATCGGTGTCCATCAGCATGTATGGGTGACTGAGTGAATATAAGTCAAGCTGCACTATTATTATATAATAAATTACAGAATTAAATAGTATTATGCATTTGTGAGGCTTTATTTTTATTTTTATTTTTATTATTATTATTATTATTATTATTATTATTATTATTATTTGGCTCTACAGCCTTTTGTTGGACTGTGGCCGCGTTTTCACTTTCTTGATCCCATACAGAGACCATAGGACTCCTAAAACAGGGGATCAGCCCATCATAAGGTCGCTACCTACACAGGGAACAAAAAATACAAATCTCTATAGCTGTCTGATTAACAGTGGATAGCACACAAAAATGAAACAACAATAAGTGCTAACTTACGAAATGACCGCAAGACAGGGCTACTGCGAAGTGCGTAGACACATTGCGACTGATGGTGTCAGTCAGTCACTAGGTCTTGGTTCCAAGCTTCATCTGGGGCTCATGAACAGAGTCCTGTTTGACAGTTACAGCCTTGTTTCTGTGAGGCACCCTCTCTGATGAGAGGACAGGTCTGTCTCTTGTGTATGCTGCTGGCCCTTGCCAGTGCAGTCATTCTTGTGGCCGAGTCCCCTGGTACTCGAGACCATATTTTACTGTCTCCGATTTGAGAGTTCCCTTTTCATCGCATCCTACGACTCGCAGGGTCACGGTGGACATATTCAACCCCGCCTCCACATGTGGACAAACCTAGATAAATCCTTCAAACAATTTATATAAAAATGACAAAAAGAGAAGAATAGAACAGATTCAGTTAGACATGGCCATCCCGGTACCATGAACAAACCCATGTTAATCATCTCCTAGGATGCCACGTAATGTTCCCTGACCACGAAGAAGTTCCGCATTTGTCAGAACGTGGGAGCTCCTTCTGCATGTGTAAAATTGTACTGGGCACACCCTGTGTAGAAGCATGTGTGGGGGCATGTTCCAACAGATGCATGTTTCAGGCAATTTTGCCTGATTCAAAGGAATCTAAGCATGATTTCCTCCTTCCTGATGTAGCTCAAGTACTGCCACACCAGAGCACATGCCTTCACTGACTCCAGTTTGTTATCCTGCATGTTGGTCCACATCACTCCAAATCCAAATGAGTCATCACAATGACACACCTTAAGGCAGGAACAGAGGCATCTGCTGAAGTGCCAGGTTTATTCAGTATACTTCGGACGATGTGCAATGTCAAGGATATCTGTATAATGTCACCCAAAAATCTTTGCAGAATCATTACTTATCCTCTCACAGATACTCTACACAATGACAACTCTCTCTTATGGCACAGATACAGACTGAATCAATGTTTAAAAAAATTACAATCTTCAACATTTACAGTTGCTGGCAACCCTATGATGTAGTACAAAGAGAAGTGTCACTGCACTTGATGGTCAAGGAGTATGTGGCAAATTTTCTTCCTCTAGACTTTGTCTGAAATACTTTTCACGTTACATAATACAGTAAAAAATGGCCTAGAATCTTAAGGGTCCAGAACACTCTTCTGCTGAAGGCAGGTTTCCATTTAATCAAGGTATACTATAATAATTAAACCACGACATGCACGTATTTGAGACAAAATAAAATAACACACTCATTAATTTATTCACACTAAAATCACTGGACACAAGCAAACATTCCACTGAGTAAAAGTAAAAAGTAAAGGTATCCCTGTAACAGGCCATGGAGGCCCA